AAATCCACGGGAACTAATATTTGACCTTAAGTCTCTCCCACTCGAATTTCAAAATAATCTCAGGAACAGGTTTGAGGCCTTGAGCACCAATGAGTGTAGACCAAATGAGCTGTGGGAGGATATCAAGAATATAATCCATGAAGAATGCAAAAGATCATTACAAAGGCTGAAGAGGAAGAAAAGACCAAAATGGATGTCAGATGAGACTCTGAATATTGCATTAGAACGCCGAGAAGCCAAAGTTAAAGGAAGAAACCAAGAAATCAAAGAGCTAGACAGAAAATTTCAAAAGGCAGCCCGGGATGACAAAGCAAGATACTATAATGAAATGTGCAGAGAGCTGGAGTCAGAAAATCAAAAGGGCTGAACTCGCTCAGCATTTCTTAAGCTGAAGGAGTTCAAAACAAAATCAAGCCATAAGTGGCAATACGTAAGGATGCTTTGGATAGAATGTTAAATGATCCAAGAAGCATTAAAATAAGATGGAAGGAATTCACAGAATCAATGTATCAGAAGGAATTGGCTGACACAGAAGAATTTAATGAAATAACTTATGAGCAAGAGCCTGGGGTGATGAAGGAGGAAGTTCAAGCTGGTCTAAAAGAATTGGCAAAAAACAAGGCTCCAGGAGTTGATGGCATACCAACTGGCATGTTTCAACAAACAGTTGCTGCCCTGGATGTGCTCATTAAGTTGTGCCAAGAAATCTAGAGGAGAGCCACCTAGCCTGGAAGAGATCGATATTTGTTCCCATTCAAAAAAAAGGTGATCCAACAGAGTGTGGAAATTACAATATCATTAATATCATATGTAAGCAAGATTCTGCTAAAAATTATTAAAAAATGACTGGAGCAATATGTCAACGAGAACTGCCAGATGTGCAGTCTGGATTTAGAAGAGGTTATGGTACTAGAGATATTACAGCTAATGTTATATGGATCTTGGCAGAAAGCAGAGTGCCAGAGGAATGTCTACCTGTGCTTCATTGACTATGCAAAGGCTTTTGACTGTGTGGATCATAACAAGCTATGGCTGACTCTGAAAAGAATGGGAATCCCAGACATTTTATTGTGCTTATGAGAAACCTATACTTGGACCAAGAGGCAGTCATCAGAACAGAGCAAGGAGACACTGCATGGTTCAAAATTAGGAAGAGGGTCCACCAGGGATGCATTCTGTCTCCATAACTATTCAATCTGTATGCAGAACAGATCATCCGGAACGCTGGGCTGTATAAGGAGGAATGTGGCATCAGGATTGGTGGAAGATTCAGCAACAATCTGTGTTTTGCAGATGACACAACCCTGCTTGCTGAAACTGAGGAGGACCTGAAGTGCATGCTGCAGAGGGTCAAGGACTGCAGCCTTCAATTCACTTTGAAGCTCAACATCAAAAAAACAAAGATTCTCACCACTGGATCAATTGGCAGTATCAGTATGGATGGTGAAGATTGAGATAGTTAACAGTTTTAGTTTGCTTGGCTCCATAGTCAACACTCTTGGTACCAGTAGCCAGGAAATCAAGAGACAAATTACATTGGGAAAGTCAGCTGTCAGGGACCTCCCCAGAGTACTTAACGAGCAGTGACATCAGGCTGGAGACTAAGGTGTGCCTGATCCAGGCTATAGTCTTTGCAATTGTGTGCTATGTGTTATAGAGTTGGACATAACTAGTGACTAGGGATGATAGAAAGTGAATTGATGCCTTTGAGCTGTGGTGCAGGAGAAGAGTGTTGAATATACCATGGACAGCTAGAAGAACAAACAGTTTTGTCCTGTTGTTGTTGTTATGTGCCGTCGAGTCACCTACAACTCATAGCGACC